CTTGGGAGGAAAGCGATGGCGAACCTAAACAGCATGATAAAAAGTAGAGACATCACCCTGCCAACAAAAGTCTGCATGGTCCAAGCAATGGTATTCCCAGTAGTCATGTATGGCTGCGAGAGTTGGACTATAAGGAAGGCCGAGCGCCGAAGAATAGATTCTTTTGAACTATGGTGCTGGAGAAGACTCTTGAGAGTTCCTTGGACTGCAAGGAGATCAAATCAGTCAATCCTCAAAGAAATCAACCCTGACTGTTCCCTGGAAGGCCAGATAATGAAACTGAAGCTCAAATACTTTGGCCACCAAATGAGAAGGGAGCACTCACTGGAGAAGACCCTGATGCTGGGAAAGATTGAAGGTCAAAGAAGACGGGGACGGCAAAGGATGAGATGGTTAGACAGTGTCAGCGATGCAACGAACATGAAATTGAGCCAACTTCGGAGGACGGCGGAAGACAGGAGAGCCTGGCGGGAGATTGTCCATGGGGTCGCGAAGAGTCGGACTCGACTGTGCGACTGAACAACAACAACAAACTGGCTCAGGCGGGTCGCTGTGCTGCTGTGCTGGTCTGAAGCATCAGGACAAAGTTTGAGTCTAGGAGCACCTTTAAGACCAACAAAGTCAATTCTGGATATAGTCATCACAAACAGGTAGGGGGTAACCCTCTACCTACCAACAAAAGTTTTATTATGGGTGTCAGCTTTGGTGTGGACGCACACGTCTTCAAACACATTGAAACTGAAATCAACCATTACATACAGGTAGAACCTCTTCCTCTATGGATTCAGGCGGGTCGCCGTGTTGGTTTGAAGCGGGAGATCAAAGTTTCAGTCCAGTGGCACCTTTGACACCCACAAAGTTTAATGCTGGGTATAAGTATAATGCACACAAAAGCATATACCTTGAATAAAACTTTGTTGGCCTTAAAGGTGTCCCTGGATTCAAACTTCCCTCTACCTGTATGTAGTGATTGCTGACTTCTGCTTCAATGTATCTGGAGAAGTGCACACGCTCAGGGAAGCTCACACCCAGAATAAGACTTTGTTGGTCTTCAAGATGCCCCTGGACTCAGACTTTATTCGTAAACGGTATTTATAGTCCGCCTTTCTTACAGGGACTCCAGGCGGATTACAAACCCAACAGTGACACCTAGCGAGCACAGTACAAAATGGGACATTCGATAACCAAATGCATTGGGATATTAGAAGCCTGGAACCACCAGAACGAAACGGAAGCCTAGCAGAAGTATTCACACGAACGGTTATGGGGTACGGAAATTACATAAAGGCTGCGGTCACACACACTAAAGAATCCACTTCTGTTGGAATTGCAAGTTGCTTACATATCAGCCATTACGGAGTTAAATGTTGTTTGTGTTAGCAAACAGGATGTTACGTTACATAATGTATTCAACGGCGGGAAAGTTTGTGGGAGTTGTTTACCCTAATGAAGTGACCTGTAACCTTTGTATTGGTCAACTAACAACTTGTTTGTAGAAATGCTTTGATCTAACATTAATGTATTCACAAGTTTATGGCCCTTTGTGTGAACCAAAAGAGGTGGTTCTCTTCTAGAAGCCAAGAGAGAGAGAAAGATATGAACCTAATTGTTGGGTATTACAAGATGAAAACACTCAGTATATCTGGGGTTAAATGTTTGTTTCTGTTACTCACAGGAAGTCACATGTTTCTCATGTAACCAATGTTCTTTAGCTGTAAGAAGCCCGGGAATTTTCTCCCCGATCTAGGAGTTTGATTGGGATGAAAGTGTCAAGGTGTATTACCATTTTATGGCTTCTCTTCCCGTCTTTGTTTTGTGTTCTCAAGAAGAAGTAAGAGTAGCCATAATTGCTCTCTTCTAGTTTTGTCTTTGTAGTGTAAGGATGTAGCCCTTTAGCTCTGTTGTTATTTTCATCCCAGTTACCCTTCCCCATGCTAGAATTTAGTAAAAACTTTATATTTTAATCACACATGGACTCTCAGTCTGAATTCTTTTACTAAGGCTCTGCTGGGCTATATTATCTCTGCTAAATACCATTTTTTCAATATCTCACTATCAAAACCCAACACTAATTGATCCAAAAGCATGACATTTCAGCGACTTCCAATCCACTTTCATTCAGTGCACTTTCCGACTGGATTTTAGCTGTGTGAACTGGCGAGATCCAGTTGGAAAGTGGCTCGGAAGGGGATTCTTTAGTGTGTGTGTGACCTGAAGCCAAACAGGATCCAGCTGGGTCGCCTGTGTTGGGCTGAAGCAGCAAAGTCCGAGTCCAGCGGGGCACCTTTAAGACCAGCGAAGTTTTATTCTGGGCCTGAGCTTTCGTGCCCCTTCAGACCCTTACTCGCGGGGAGCGGTAGGCAGCGCTATGAGCCCTCCCCTCTCCTGCCCGCCCGGCCCCCCAGCAGCGCCTCTTCTGCGCCGGTTCCCACCGCAGGTTTCCTGCCACCCGGGAATCCCCGAGGTTCCCTTGCAGGGAATGAACTGTTCGGTTTGGGGGTGGGGGGCTAGGTGGGGCGGGGAGGCGAGGAGGCCGAACAGCGCCGAACACACTGGCCCATGAATAATGCATGCCAACGACTGCTTTGGGCATCAATAATTAAGCGCCGTTACAGTAATTACACAATTATTATTACGATGAATTATTTACTCGGGAAAAGAGGTCTTCTCAAGCGCTTCCGTTCCGCGGCAAACGGCACCGGGAAGGAGGGAAGGCCGGCTGCTTCGGGCCGGGCCAGCCAGAGACCCGGTTCCGAAGGCGCTTCGTGCACCTGGCCCGGCGGCCACACCTGGGGAGGAGCGCAACAGAGCGTGGGAACCCGTGCGCATTTGGCCAGCGCCTGGCCACGCGCTCCAATCTTTCTTTCTTTCTTTCTTTCTTTCTTTCTTTCTTTCTTTCTTTCTTTCTTTCTTTCTTTCTTTCTTTCTTTCTTTCTTTCTTTCTTCTTCCTTTCTTCCTTTCTTCCTTCCTTCCTTCCTTCCTTCCTTCTTTACTTCCTTCCTTCCTTCTTTCCTTCCTTCCTTCCTTCTTTCCTTCCTGCCTTCCTTCCTTCCTTGACAAGAAGAGATAAACCCTCTTTCGGTTCTTGCCTCCTTTGACGAATCTTGCCGCAGCACGTGGAATTCAGTCTGAATTAACGTCAGGATTTCGTTTCTTTGTAGCTTCTCTCGCCCTTGCCTTTTAATATTTCCGTCGCAACTGGCTTTCCGCCTCAGTCTTCTGGGGGAAGCGCGTTTCTCTCGCCTGCTTTCCACCCACCAGGCCTCCTCCTGGTCAGCCAAATTGTCTCCGGCCGCGCCGCGGAGAGAGTCATTCAGAATCCATCCCCTTCCAAAGGCAAAGACAGCCTTTTCTCTTTAGGCAAGTGTCGGAATTGCGAGTTGCTTACACTTCAGTCATTACAGAGTTAAATGTTGTTTGTTAGGAAACAGGATGTTACGTTACATAATGTATTCAACGGCGGGAAAGTTTGTGGGAGTTGTTTACCCTAATGAAGTGACCTGTGACCTTTGTATTGGTCAACTAACAACTTGTTTGTGGAAATGCTTTGATCTAGCATCCATGTATTCACAAGGTTTATGGCCCTTTGTGTGAACCAGAGAGGAAGTTCTCTTCTAGAAGCCAAGACAGATAGAAAGATGTAGTTGTTAGCATTTATTACTGAGAGTAACTAAGTATGTGACCTTTTTATTTTATTTCTTTTATCCAAAGAGCCATACCCATGTTTTATTTTGTTTTATAGTAAAGATATTTTTTTTCTTTTACTAAGTGTGCGCTCTTGTGTTTGCAATACAACCATCGACCCTGAATCAAAGAATCCCCAACAGCAAGCAAATCCGGGCGGCAGCGTTGGGGGTCCCCGTAACTCTCCGTCACGACGACGGCTTAAAACAGAAGGGATCGCAGGCTGGCCAAGAGTCCTGGCGGTCTCCAAAGCCGGCGCCTGGATCGGTGGAGGGAGGCGGGCCAGTCCGGGCGCTGCCAACTGAGCGTCTAGCAGGAGAACGAAACCTGGTTCCCGCTCGGATTGTTCTCGTTTTTCACCGAGCGGCGGCTCGAGGGTCGAGATCCTGCGCACACTTGCTTAGAAAGGAGCCCAGTTGGGACCACGTGGGACTTATTTACGGGCAGCCACAGCTAGCAAGGGGTTCTGAATGGATCGGAAGCTCTGCGGTTTTTCGCAGACGTCCGACGACCGCGAATCGGGGACGCGGCAGGCTCCGCTTGAAACCTGCTGCGGCGGATTCGGCTGTTCCCAGCGCAGGGCTTGTTCGAAAGGACTCCCGAGGTGGAAGCCAGGGCCGGCCGGGCGCAGCAAGGGGTCCCGATGGATCGGGTCGCCTTTGCCAGGCTCTGAGTTGGAGTGGGGGGGGGGTCCGGATCAATGTTCCCTCTAAGCTGTGGAGTCCTGTGAGCAGAAATTCTACTTTGTGAGCTACTGGCATTAAAGTTGTGAGCACGTAGTTTGGCTGCTGCATAAAATTAGTTTGCTCTTGGAGCCCTCCTTCCTGAGCGAAGACAAAAGTGTGTGAGCCGGAGGCTAAAAAACTGTGAGCTAGCTCACACTAACTCAGCTTAGAGGGAACACTGGTCCGGACTCCAGACCAACGCTCCCTCTAAGCTGTCTTGCGAGCAAAAAGTCTACTTTGTGAGCTGCCGGCGTTAAAAATGTGAGCGAGCCATTTGACTGCTGCATCGAATTAGTTTGCTCCGGAGCCCTCCTTCCTGAGCGAAGACAAAAAGGTGTGAGCTGGAGGCTAAAAAAACCTCTGAGCTGGCTCACAGTAACTCAACTTAGAGGGAACGCTGGTCCAGACCTCACCAACATTTTGGGAAAAGACTAAAGAGCCGTTCTTTTTAGGACGAGGAAGCCGCAAACTGCAGCAGGGACCGCCCGCCTCAGCCAGAGACCAGAGACACCCCCCCCTTCCTAACAACTCCTCCCAGCACCTCTTGCCCGACCTGTTCTCGTTGTCTTAATTCTCTTAATTCTCTCCAGACCTTGAATTCAGACCTGCTGTGGAATGCCACGTGTAGCGATAAGATCCCTAAAACGAGGCAAGATCAGATAGAGTATTTAGTTTCTCTCCCTCTCTGACGTTATCAGGCCCATAGCTACTGTGGGGCGCTTGGGGGCCCTGCCCCCCAACCAAAAGCCCCATGCCAGAGACTTTATTTTTTAGGCGAGACCCCCTCGAAAGGAAGGGCTAGAAACAAGCTCGGAGCCTCCCCCTTTAAAGACAGGCCTTCAGAGGAATCCAATTAACTTTAACTGAACAGCCCCCTTAAAGATTTAAATGCCCCCCAGAACAAAAAATATATATATCCTGGCCACGGGCTTGCGCGGGCCCTCCCCGCCCCCGTTTCCCACGGACGCCTCTTGGAGGCGCTCCACCCGGCAAGGCCCGACAGCCGCCGCCACCCCTTATGGTTGGGTCCCAGATACTGGCGTCCACAGGTACACTGCCTCTAAAAGGGGAAGCTCCATTAGAGACGACATTTTGGCTAACATCAATGTTCCCTCTAAGCTGTGGAGTCTTGTGCGCAAAAATTCTACTTTGTGAGCCACTGGCATTAAAGTTGTGAGCGAGCGATTTGGCTGCTGCATCAATTAGTTTGCTCTGGAGCCCTCCTTCCTGAGCGAAGACAAAAATGTGTGAGCTGTAGGCTAAAAAACTGTGAGCTAGCTCACACTAACTCAGCTTAGAGGGAACACTGGCTAACATAGCGATTCAGGTGTTGTTGTTTTTTTAACCCAGACTTTTTATTGAATTACTAACGAAAAACACAAGCAAAACTACAAGCAGCAGACCAAAGCTGAGGTCCAGCAGCACCTTTAAGACCAAAAAAAGTTTTATTCTGGGCAGAAGCTTCGGTGCGCAGGCGTACTTCTTCCGGTTTCTATGGGCGAATTTCTCCCTGCGTGGAGAAGCGCTTTTCTTTCCTGAACCCTTCAGCCCCGTTGGGGTGTCAGGGGGCCCCAGGCTTCTCCAGGCCCTTTACCATTTTCTAGGTCTCTGCCGTGTATGCGGCCCCCCCCCAACAAAAAACCCTTCCCCTCTCTTCCAGGGAAAGGAGTTCCAAGACAGGGATCGAACCAGCTTCCGAAGAGATATGCCGCTTTTCGGATTGGCTTCAAGGCGGAAGAGTTCGTTCCGACAGCCCCTTCTGTCTGCGGCAAGGCCGTGGGATAGTGTTGGATGATAGTGAGATATTGAAAAATGGCATTTAGCAGAGATGATAGTGCAGCAGAGCCAGAGTAAAATAATTCAGACGGAGAGACCATGTGTGATTAAAATATAACGTTTTTACTAAATTCTAGCATGGGGAAGGGTAACTGGGATGAAAATAACAACAGAGCATAATCGGCTACATCCTTACACTACAAAGACAAAACTAGAAAGGAGAGATTATGGCTAATTATGGCTACTCTGCTTCTTCTTCAGAACATCAAAACAAAGATGGGAAGAGAAGCCATAAAATGGTAATACACCTTGACACTTTAGTCCCAATCAAATCCCTGGATCAGGGAGAAAATTCCCGGGCATCCTACAGCTAAAGAACATTGGTTACATGAGAAACATGTGACTTCCTGTGAGTAACAGAAACAAACATTTAACCCCAGATATACTGAGTGTTTTCAACTTGTAATACCCAACACCATTTCAGGCCCCAAAGAAGGAAAGAAGGAACGAAATTGTGCAGCACCGAGCACAGTTGGCTGAACTCCCCGGGTTGAAAAGGCGCTGGGGGGCTTCTCATCTCGAAGGGCTCCGGCTGTGAGAAATCGCTCGTCAACTAGCTGTGCTCGGCGCTGCAGCTCTGAGCTGGAGGACCATTCTCAAGACTCCTCGACCCCCCTGCGTGTATTGGGGTGTGTGTGATTCGAATGCAGATTCTTCTCACGCGAGGCAGCTTTGCCCGTTGAACGTGTGAAAGGGCCCCTTCTTTCCGAGTGAAACACTTTTTTGGTGTTCGATTTCGGATGATCCTGATGGAGAGCAAGGTGGTGTAGTGGTTAGAATATCGGATTGGGATGGGGGAGACCTCCGTTCAAAGGGCAGCTTTCTGGGTGACCTTGGGCCAGTCACAGGCTCTCAGCCTAACCTACCCGTTGTGAGGATAGGGGGGGGGGGGGGGGGAGAGAGAAATAAGTCGTTTGGGTCCCCACTGGGGTGAAAGGAGAGGTACAATTAAAGTAAATGATAAATAAACGAAATTATTGCTTAGCACATGGAAAACATCTCTTGACGAGGCGATGCGCCGAGTAAGGGAGGCGCGGGGGGGGGGGCAGAATTATTTCGACCTAGAAGGTTGTATTCTGATATTCTGACACGCTGGCCACCCTGTAGGGGGCTTTTACCCCCCCCTCCTTTCCCAACTCGGAACAGCTACAGTGACTGATTCCCACGTGCACGCTCATTGCTTGATAAACACTGCACGTGTGAACTGCAGATCCGATGCCACAGACGGATCACCCGAAGCCCCCTTTTTTCAGCTGCCAATCCTCCCCACTGCTTTTCTCCTTTGGTGAGTTCCCTCTAAGTTATGGAATCTTGTGAGCAAAAATTCTACTTTGTGAGCCACTGGCATTAAAGTTGTGAGCGAGTGATTTGGCTCCTGCATCAATTAGTTTGTTCTGGAGCCTTCCTTCCTGAGCTGAGACAAAAATGTGTGAGCCAGAGGCTAAAAAACTGTGAGCTAGCTCACACTGACTCAGCTTAGAGGGAACACTGGCTGAGGACCATAACCATTAGGGTTTGAATGGGCTGTGGAGCGGACACCACGTGACACAACCAATGTTCCCTCTAAGCTGCAGAGCCTTGTGAGCAAAAATGCTACTTTGTGAGCTAATGGCATTAAAGTTGTGAGCAGACGATTTGACTACTGCATAAATTAGTTTGCTCTGGAGCCGTCCTCCCTGAGCTAAGACAAAAATCTGTGAGC